ATGTAGCCCCCGTAGAGGACCTGGTCGGGCTGGGTCTCTGTCTGGGCCCTGTCTGGCGAAGGCGACTTTTCGCTGGGCTTGTCCGGGTTGCTGTTCGGGCTTGACCTGTGTCCTTCAGACTCATGGTCTGGAGCGGTAGCCATGTCGACGTCTTTCCCGGCATCTTCGCTGGTCCTCCGTGCCAACGAGTAGAACTTTTCAGTCGTTGCCTGGAGTTGCTTGCCGAACTCGGGTGCGGTGTCCAGCATGCCCTTGCCGACGGCGAAGTCATACAGTTTCATGAAGGCTTTGCTCATCTCCTCGTTGTTGGACCTGAGCTGGTCTACCTTCTTCTCCAGAGTCTGGATCGCCGTCTCCTTGCGATTCCGGTAAGCCCTTTGGGCCAGACGGATCTGGGTGCGACGACGCTAGGCGAGGGTTAGACCATGACATCCAAATAAATGCGACGCATGAACTCGGGGGTAACTCATTCATAATCCAGTAAAAACAGTATCTCGTCACGCAGCAGTACCATACTTACATCCTTTGCTGTTTCGTCATTGGTATCGAGTCTTGGTCTGCCTCGCGACCGCTTTTTTTCCTCCTCCTCCTGCTCGCAGGTGTCGACAGCCTGCGTCTTGGTCCGCTTCCTCGACTTGCCAGAGTCCTCTCCGGCTACCCGAGACCTCCCAGCCGGGGGCAAACTCCGCGGCGCGTGGAACCCCGGCACGCCATCGTCGAAGGACTCGGCATTGAGTATTGACAGTTCCGGGTTCTGCATGAATGATATTGGGTAGCCGCCCGGGAACTGGAGAACGCCGCTTTGGCGGTGGTGGTGATGATGATGGGGATGAGGGTGGGGGTGAGGATGGAAGAAGTCGTCGTCGCCGGCGTGGATGAACGGAGCGGCGGCGGGACCTGCAGGGCCCGGCGCTGGGAAACCAACAAAGGGCGGCGGCTGGGGCTGAGGGATGTGTGTGTGTGCAGTCACTGAGCCCTGGAGCTGGATCGGGACTAGATCGCTGGCGTTAGGGGTGAAGTTGGGGTCTGGGGGTAGATCGAAGCTGCTTGCAGTTGCCTGGTACTGGGCCTGGAGCAGTCTAGGGTCGTGGGGATGGCGGAGGAAGGAAGATGAGTCCGAGGTCGAGGAGGTGAGCGACGCTGACTGATGGGACTCAGGGGGCGATGTATATGAAAAGTGCTGGTGGTGGTGTTGTAGTTGTTGCTGTGGTGGGTTTGGGTGGGAGTGATTTTGATGCCGGGGTTGGATGTACGGCTGGGTATCGTATAAGATTACTGTTGTCGCTTCTTGCCGACCGCTGGGCTGACTCTCTTGGGGGTGATGTTGTTGTTGTTGTTGTTGTTGTTGTTGCTGCTGCTGCTGCCAGCGGGATTGCGGATGATGATCATGGGTGATGGGCGTGTGATGGTGGTGTTGGTGAGGGTAAGGGTGTTGAGAGTGAGGATTTGGGGAAGATGGAAGAACAATAACCGTGCCGCTTTCTTCTTGGATGTTATTATTACCAGGCGGCGGCGCTAAACCCGACAACTCCTCATAAACGGTGCTACTTCTGTCGCCAGAGTGGCCTTGTTGGTGCTGATTAATTTGGCTGCGGCGCTGCGCCGAAAGCTGTTGAGAATGCCGGCGACTGGTGGTGAAAGTGCCGTTTTCACGTCCTTGTCCACTTCTTCGTCCAGCAGCTGGTGGAGGCCCGTTGTTGAAATGGGTCTTCCCACGGGGGAGAGGAGGAGGCTCGTCCAAATCATCGGCCGCCGGCTCGGTGGTCTGCGCATCCAAGGAGCTGGAACGGAGAGGATTACTCATCTCTGCCGACGGTACAGCGGGTGCGCCAGCAACGGATGGGGGGGATGCGAGGGATCGATCTAACAAAGTTTAAAAGAAAATGCCGACTAACACACCTAATCTCGGATCCTGTCCGTTTTGCGGGAGACGTCGGCCGGCGAGACAAGTGATGCTGTTAAGGTCTGATAACCCAGTCATCCTGTCGTGCCGCTGGAGCTGTCAGAGGCGGAGAGCTGCCCGCCAATGCATAACAGGACGACGCCCTGCAGACGGTAGCTGGCGATTCGTGTAGTTGCGAACGGGATTGGCTGATACGACTTAAAGTGTGAATAGGACCACTTGAGATGGAGTAAATCTGTAATTAAGTCTTGTTCTGTGACGATGAACTGAAACTAACACGAGAGATTGAGATTGAGAGTTGAGGGTAGAATAGAGTCTGTGGAGCTCTCACTCACTTTCTGCTGGGTCCCGGAAGGACAGGCGGCAGACGGGCTTCTTTTTCAATCCGGCCCATCAGTCATGGATGAGACAACGCCTCAACCCTTATGACAATAAGTTCTCGAGTGGGTGTCTGGGGAATGGTCGTACATGGTTTATCGACGACGCCCCGGGGCCGGGTTTTTTTTCTGTAAAATCTGACGAAATGGGCTTGTGGAAAAAGCAACCGGTATGCACAGAGTTGCACCGCGGCACACATACTGGTGTGGATGAAGATTGCCATCATCCTGATAATCCACCCTCGTCCCCAATCCCAAGCAGTGGGTGACAAGGTTGGACAAGGGCGGCGGCGTCTGCTGTGGCCCAGCCCAGCCTCGTGGGTGAGGCAAGTCGAGTCCGTCACAAAGCCATTGGGAAGCCTGGGGGTGGTTTTCTCACAAAGAGACAGAATAGGAGAAGCTATCACGCAGGGAATAATACGGCCCAGCAGTGAGGGATTGGTTCGCGGAGCCGGGTTCTGGAGGCTGTCACGAGCAGGTTGACGAGCCTCGTTTTCTTCGTAGACCCCGACGAGGCAAGGTTATCGCATGGGATCGGCAGTCTGCAGCTCTCCCCCGAGAACATGGCCCACGTCGGAGGTGAGGGTGCATTCGGCTGGCTTGATGATGTCCAGGCCAGGGTGCTGCAAGTTGGCTGCGAGTGCATCATCACCACGGTATTAGCCACCTTGCTCAACATCCTTCTTCGCCTTAAGGACCCGGTCGGCTGGTCTAGTGTGTGCGCATGCAAGTGACGAGAACCCGTACCCAGCTGCTCGAGACCTCTATTGGATCGGGGAGCGGCGGAACAGGATCAGTCCGAGATTTAATTGCAGCGATGGCGACCTGGGAGAATGTCACCGGCCTGGCCAGCCTCACTTTTGGGGGTCGCGGTTTTGCCTCTAGCAGCAAAGATCGCCGCGAACACACACCAGAATCCCACGCGGAGATTTTTATTCCTTGGAAGCCTTCCAGTTCCCAAAAAGCAAAGCTGAGAAACTTATGCATCCTGCTTACGCTCTTGGGACGACTCTGAAGAACAGTGCAAAAATGACAAAAATGGCCCCTGCATGACGTTTCGGCCAGAGGCCCGCGGCGGCCGGGACGTGACGGTGTTTCCAGCCCCGGAGGATGGAGGAGCAGCCAGGCAAAGCTCGCATGCATCCCGGCCGGTGCTGGCGGAGAGAGATACACCACTCCAGCGTGCATGGCGCGCACGTGGTGGCGACATCCGGCCTCGGGATTGATTGGACAATCTTGCATTGCGACAGCCTCATGATCTAGACCCGGCTCAGGGTCTTTGTTGGATCGTCCAAGCAATTGTCTCCAACGGACGGTCCCAGCAGCGCGGCCCCGGAAAGTGTCTTGCTTCACCAGCCATTTCCGGCTCGTCATCTTGAACACCAGTGACTGAGACGATGGAGCTGAGTGGCTGGCCCGGTGCATGTTTCCGTGGATAAATCTCAGATTATTGTCGCAATTGATGAAGAGCGGAATTGCACCAAGACAAAAGAGAGGACGACAATTCGCACGACAGGCTTCGCTATGCAACACCCCCCACGTCTCGTTGGAGCTGGTGTTCGGGCCCCTTGGACCCCTTCTTTTCGTTGTAAGCCTGGGGCATCATCCATCATTATGACCACCGAACCGGGGTGGGCCCGCGGGTCCGATCTGGATTCTGTCAAACGGCAGCGAGATCGTGTCAATCCTCTAGCCCCGGGTCGTACGATGAGATCCCAGCCGCCCGCCTCACCTCCCTCGGGAACCCGTCGATCTTAGCCCGAATCGCACTCATCACCGCCGTCTCAGGGGCGAATTCTTGGAGGCGCTCTCCAGGCACTTGCTTGGACTTCGCGTCGCGACCCAGGGCAACGGTAGCAACCGTTGGATCAGCGTGGTCTCGCTCCTTGGGAGTCGCGATTGTTCCATGATTCTTCGAGGTTTGCAACAAGGTGGGCTCGTATCAAGACGGGCTGTCATAAATGATGTCAGGGGATTTGAGCCTGTTGTTGATTTATCACGGTCTGCGCCATGTTTGACATTGGCACAGCGGACGATGGACTTCTTGCGCATATCATCTCGGCGATAATGGTCATGTTCTCCTGCAGAATTGGTCACATGCATGCACAGGGGCGCGTCATTTTGTCGGCACATCGTGGCTAGATCACCAGAGTGCTGCAGACTAACATTGATCTGGCCATTGAGGAGCCATCTCGAGATGCTACTCAATGTTTTCTGTCCGATGTCGCCGATGTTCATTGAACCTAGCCTCCACTGTTGTAGTCGTCAAGGCCTACACAGGCAACACGAATTTTCCCACGAGACTCTCAGCTACACAGGATTACTTCCGCAGATTCAGTATAAAGTGGGTGAGCAACTTTCTAATACGGGCCCGATACTGGCCCAGTACTCGTCCAAATACTGGATATATAACTGGATGCAGAGACATGAGAAAGAGGGGGGAACCAAGAACAAATTGTTCAGAAACTCTGCGCATCTTTGGGCTTGATTTTCAGGAGTAGAACCTGTCAAGTGGGTGACCAAGAAAAACCGGTACACGACAACCTAAGTAGGTATCTGGGAGAGAGATATCTCGATTCCTTCACAGTTCTGCACCATTCTTCTTCTTTTTCTAAGACGAAAAATAGACATGGCTCTGTAAAAACCTGACTTATTTACACTTTTCTACTTTTTTCTCTTAATATCTATCTTGCTGTCAGTGTTATTCTAGTAATAATACAATGGAGGAACAGCTCACATTCGGCGCAGCCCTCGTCCAACCGAAACCGCTGGCGAGCACTGTAAATCAGCTAGAGCGCCCTGTAAGGAGAACGGCGGGGAAACTGGGGCCAGTCGCCGGGCTTAATTCAGCCCCCAAAGGCCGCACAGGCGGCAGGAAATGGGGCCACATTCGGTACGGTGCGCCGGGACTCACCTCCTTGACCACCAACGGGTTCCTTCTTAGTACGGGCAAGCTGACCGGGCCATCCTTGCCACCGAGCTGACACCCCTCATTCTGCCACTGCACTGCGCTCAACATTGTCGAGAACCGTCTTTTGACAAGGCAGCTCCAGTCCAGGCGGATAAGCATGGGAGTACGTCGAATCTAGGCACGACGGAGCTTCGGCAGACTGCTCAGCGAGTCGGACGCGGTCGAGGTCCAAAGTGTAGAACCGCGAGCGCAAACATGGCTGACGGCAGCCTCGAAGAAGGTTGGACGACGGTCCACAGACAGTTCCAGGGTCACCCCGAACGTCTCCCGCCCGCCCAGCGCGAGCTCCACGAGAGAACCCAGATTAAGGAATGGGAGTCATCGGACGGTCACTGGTCTGGCATGTAAATTCAACCTCACCTTATCCCCGGTCACCTCCCTTTCTCCACCATGAGGACTGACATGTTTGCGGGACAGAGGAAAGCACCCTGCGGACTTCACCGAATCGAAAAAGCTCCATCACAAGATCACTGTGCCTCAGGACAATAGTCTGGGATGGGGTACTTACGGTCGCGTCGAAAAGGTTACCCATCGAACGGTCTGTCTGGCGCGAAAATGGATTCAGCCGAGGCGCGGTCGCACGATAGAGATCCTCCGTGAGGAGGCACACGTCATGGAAAGGCTGGACCATGACCACATTGTCAAGTTGATTGGCACCTATACGTTTAGACAGCGGGAGCTGTACCTCCTGATATGGCCGGTTGCCGTATGCAACTTGGACGAACTACTCACAGACCTCGATGATTTAAGGAGCGGCCAAGGCGATCGAGAGGATATCACCAAGAGACTCATGGCGCTGGGCCTTACGGATTTAAGCGCCATCCAGGGCAGCGTCCGCGATGCTCCCAACTCGGGCTCCAAGGGAAAATGTCCTCTGAAGTTCCTCCAGCGCATCATGGGCTGCATCGGCCAAGCTGTTACCTATTGCCATCATTCCAACATTCGCCATCTCGATCTGAAGCCGACAAACATCCTGCTCAATCCCGAGAGGGTTTATTTAGCCGACTTTGGTATTGCTCGGGACGTCAACGACCAGGAAAAGACGACAACCATCGGTCACCAGGGGACACCGAAATGGCGGGCCCCTGAGATTTATGACTTGAAGGACTGGTCTATGAAGTCTGCCGATATCTACTCCTTGGGCCTCATCTACCTGAATATCGCCACAGCAGTGTATCACGGCAATCTGTCGGCCTTCTATACTGTGATTGAGGACCTCGTTCCTCGCTCTCGTGCTGAAAAGCTCGAAAAGTTTCAGCAACAATTAACCCTCCACGCACTGGCTACGCAGCAATTCCATGAGGCAACATCCCCGACCGTTTCCCCACGACACATCCTGGGCTTGACCCAGAGAATGCTCCTTCTCGAACCAGGAAGCCGGCCTCGGGCAGATCAGGTGGATCATGAACTCGTCGACCTCGGTGGTATTGATCAGGTCTACCATAGCCCGTGCTGCAGAAAGAGCACAAGATATCTATCAAAGAGGATCGAAAAAAGGTTATTCGCGATGCACCGCGAGAACGGCAGCCTCAAAGCTGAAGTTGAACGCCTCAAGAGGGACAACGCGGGGTTGGTGGGTATGGATGAGACTTATAACATGCGTTTGGTGAACCAAGAGAGGTCGCACGCCAAGCACATTGAAAACTTGACGAAAAGCCTGACGAAGCAGCTAGAAGAAGAGAGAGAAAAAAGCAGGAAACTGGAGGGAAAGATGGCTCAGGCACAGATGGATATGCAGGCAAGAAGACACAGTCGGTCAGGCTTGCCACGAGTTGAAGCTACGCAGCAGACTCGCCCAACCTTCAACACCCCTGAAGCCGGCAGTGGTCTAGGAATTCGTATGAGGCCACAAACACATCCCATGCCTCAAACCGCTGTTCGACCACCTCCAAGTTCAGTATCAGCACCCTCCGCAGCACCCTCCCGTCCTGCAGTCGTGACACGAATCCCCTCTGAACAAGCGAAAGCCTGGGTTATTCGTAACGCGGCCGTAATGTCAAGCGGCATCCCAACTCCGGCTCGCATAACAGATTCCCCATCTCCGAACCCGCAAACGCCACCAACATCGGCGTTGCCATCCCGCAGCTCAGCGTCTCGTCTTCCCATCCTCGCAAAGATCCCGGCGACCCCGCGCACGAACACGCCGACTCTTGCTCGAGACCCGAGCTTGACTGACAGCACGCAAGCCAGCATGTCGTCCTCAATCTTTTCACGCCGCAGCTTTGATACGACGACTGAAGCAGCGCCGACACCGCCAGCCGCCAGTCCAGTGATCAAGAAAGATACTTTCGATATGACCGTCCGAGAGGTTCCAGCACCGCCGACGCCTAACGATGAAGTACCGAGCCCGGTATTGTCTATTCCGCCATCCTTCTCGTCGGTGTTGTCGTCTCCGCGGACGGCAACTGTCGACCTGGCATCCGTCGCGGACAGCGAGATTTCGCAGGAGGGCTTGGCTGCCATCAATGTGCCTTCTTTGCAGTCGTCCAAGAGCTGGGCAGCCGTTGCCGGCCAAGGGAAGGGGTTTTCCAGGATAGTCATAAGCTCACCGTCGAAGGCAACTCAGTCGGTGGCTCCGACTGCGCCTGCTTCTGCTGGACGCGGGAGGACCAGAGACCGGACGGCACCTGGCTCTGGCATGTAGTAGATACACGAGGTCATGAATTATGATTGGATATGAAGCAAAAGCCGGTGGAGATAATTATCAATATAGCGTGTTAGTCGTTATGACATCATGAAAGAACAGCTGCGGATTCGATCAGGACATGAGTCAAAAGCTCTTGGCTTTGGTGGTATCATTGAATGAGATGGGAATTTACATAAACGCGTCACTATGCTTTCTCCTGGGAAGGTTTGACCGGTTCAGGCTCTAAGCCCCCAAGACTCCCTTTCCATCTGTCCACTCTCTTCTGCTTGAACCTTTTCAACTTCGTCTCCTTTCTCAACTTTCGATGCCTCATGTACGGCCGAAGCTTCTCAATCACAGTCGGCACAATCCTCACCCCATACCTCCTCGCCTCCTCCACTTCCTGGGCCAGCAACTCCTCCTCCCCTTTCACAGCCTCAATCAGCGCCCTGGCCTTGGCCAATTCGTTCCGCCGTTCTCTGTCAATCTGCCCAATCATATGATAGTACGATTCCTGCACCGATTGGTAGTAAGTCGACGTCGAGACGCTGTGGCCCGCGCGACTATGCTGCCCCGCAGCCCTCAACTGCTCGTCCACCAAGCTATCCCACGCGTCCTCCTCCCGCGCCGCCGCATAGTCGTACTCGGTCATCTCGATGCTACCCTCATTGATCCTAGCCTTGCGCCACGTCTTGCGGCGCAGGATGTCGCTGACCACGCGCGGCTGCGGCCGCTTGTGGCGGAGAAACGTGTGCCCCTGCGCCGTGACGATGACTTGTGGGATCTTCCTCCGTCCCTCGAAGCTGTCGCGCGGCCGCGGGAACAGACGGGAGACGTACTTGGGCTCCTCTCCGTCCGCCGAGATCCTCTGGAGGACGGGTTTCGGGGGCGGGGTTGCCGGGCCGCGGGGTTTCCTTCCGGGCCGCTTCTTCGCTTCTGCGCGGGCGATGTGCTCGTTCTTTTGGCGGAGGTAGGTAATTATTTCGGCCTGTTCTTTCGATTCGAGGACTCGTGCGTTTTTGAAAAAGGTAAGAAACTATCCGCGTGGCACCACCCGTCAGCTTCTTGCGCCGGTTTTCGAGGGAGAGTTCAAGAGACCGGAATGCGCACCTTGTAACCCGCCGACAGCGCGGCAAAGATCAGCCGCGGGCTCACGTCCGCCTTGTTGCGCTGGAAGCCCCTCTTGATGAGGTCCGGCACGGGGTTCTTTCCCTTCCTGCAGACATCTTGGGGAAGCGTCACCTCGCGGCCTTCCCGAAGGAGGGCGCGGAACAGGGCTATGACAGCAATGCGGTGCCTCGAGCTGCGGGCGGCTATGAACTGCTGTTTGGGCATCGTCATCCAGTCGAGTGTCGCATCTTGAAATTTTGGGCGGGTGGGAGCTTGGAGAGATCGAAGCTCCGTCGTGATCGGCGCTTAGGCCTCTTATCTTATCGGCTGACTTTATCTTATCGGTGACCTTCTGACGCAATACGTAGATACTAGGTAGGTACTCTCATAGCACACCTCAGGTTTATCTTCTTCTCCTTTGTTCTCCCGATTAGACTACCTATTCTCTATATTATGAGAGGCCTACAGCTTCGTAGGCTTTTTTTCCAATACTACTCATCGGATCCTCTTGACAATGCTTCCGGGAATGTGGCCTCGAGATTCGGTCCGTAGTCTGCGTAAGACAGCTGATCGACCGTAAGCCGGCACACGCATCAATTTGCCTGCAAAAATGGAGATGGATCAAATTAGTTTCCTACGTGAGAACGAGCTGACGTTTCCTTGAAAGGGGTGAATCAGAGCGTGCTAAGAAAGAACACATGTTCCGACTCAGACAATTCCAAGGGACCGACGATCGGAATGTTGTCGAAACAACACCGAGACATCCTGTGGAATTCCAAGGTGGTGAGTTAAAAAATGGGACACGATAAAAACATCCGTAAAAATTTTGATATGTAAAGCTAGGTATATACATGGCAGGAAAAGCTATCCTTCGCTCAACGAATTTGGCTCTTTCATTGCCCTCATCGTCGCTCCTCTTGTACTTCAAGCCCTCAAGAGCAATCATCCAACCGACCTCTTGAGACGCCATGAGTATCGCAAAGACAACCTTGGCCTTCCTTTGGAGTTCGGGAAGCCTGCTCTTGGCCTTCGGGCTGACGCAATACCCTGCAGAGGCACCCTTCAGATTCATCAGCTGCGTGGCCCTCAGCGACACCGACCTCGGAAGTATCTTTTACCCAAAAGCAGCCGGTATCAGCCCGCAAGCTTGCCAGCAACAATGCGCAATAACCGACTCTCATTTCGCAGCCTTGGGAAGCGGCGTGGATTGCTACTGTTCTCACGGCACCACTGGACACGAGATGTATCCGGCGCTTGCTCCTGGTGCTAACGACAGCTTCAGTCTCTGCAACACGCCATGCCAGAACTTCCCAGACTATGCTTGTGGTGGTACAGATGGAACAAGGAAGATCTACAACATTTTCGGTGTTTGTAACCCGAACCCTCCGCCCCCTCCCGCACCGACGACGACATCAACGACAACAACTTCGAGCACTCAGGCCTCCAGCAGTACTGCTACATCCAGTTCTTCTACGATAGATACAGCATCCAGCTCATCTTCCACCAGTCCATCCAGTTCCGAGACAACTACCGTAGCTGTCTCCACAACATCATCTGCAACGTCATCTACAACACCGTCTACGACATCATCAACAACATCATCAACAATACCGTCTTCAGCTTCCTCGTCAACATCATCTGTGTCATCATCTGAGTCGTCATCTTCTACAACATCACCAGCAGCATCATCCACTGTTTCATTGAGTGGAACCTCCACGGTGACAGACGGCGGTTCAACAACAACTTCTGCGTCAGAGACTCCAGGCACTTCCACCTCTTCAAGTGTTTCGGTTTCTGCAGTCGTCACCACCAATGCACTTTCTTTCAGTTCCCAGAGTTCTGCGATCACGACGACTTCACAGTCGACATCAATCTCTACTGTTTCACCGTCCGCTAGCATCTCAGCTTCAATCTCGCCATCTTCAAGCCCCATCATTCCGTCTGGGACTCAGTCGATCGTTTCCAGCTCTTCATTGAGCCAAACCAGAAGCACAAGTGCAACTACAGGGCTCCCTACCATATCTCCGCCATTTTTTATGACGAATTCTTCTTCCACTATATCTCCCACCAGCCTGGTCTCACCACCGTCGAGTTCTTCCGCCAGCTCAAGCGGCACCTCCAACTCGCCTTCACCCGTCGGATCTTCATCGGGAACAGCGAGTTCAATTGCAAGCTCGGTTACTAGCACCACTTCAATGCCCCAATCAGGCCCCTCCAGCTCATTTTCTGGCACTTCGCAAACTCCAGTGTCGCCTTCAGGGTCTCAACCGATATCCTCACCAGGAATACCAGGATCGTCGTCTTCTGCCTTAGGTTCAATCGCAACATCTGGCCTGTTCTCGACAGCATCTGGAAGCCCATCCTCCAACGTTCTGGTAGCATCGTCTGGGTCAAGTCAGGGTACACCGACTGTTACACCAGGCTCTACTGCGACGTTTACCACCGGCTCACCTCTTGCATCCACTAGCAGCTTGCAGATTCTGATCAATGTTCCCATTGTTTTCACCATTATTCCTCCTCCAGCAACCTCAAGCGCTGCTTGAAAGACCCCAAGGCAGTGAGATTTGCCGAGTCTGTATCCACAAATTTACAGAAAACTTCCAAAATCAACCTTGGTCGGAACAAATTTCTGTTTGGATTCACTTCAATCAGAGTAAGTCGACAGTGTGAACCAAAAGTCAAGACGTTTGAAAGTGGAAACTATGACCCATCCATTCAAGAGGAACGTGGAACCCAACATCACCGCAGCATTTCACAGCTGGCAGAGTGTCGAGAGACCGATCCCACCCAGCGGGAATAAATAAGCTTAAAGTCCACAGTATGACTCCAAGTGGGCACAGTCGTACTTCGTGAAAGCGAGGAGCATGAGTGGCTCAAGCCATAAGGTTCGTCCGGCCTCGGCCGCTGCGACCGACCGTTGAACCGGATGGTAACGGACTTGGTGTATGGGGTTGATCCGAAACGTCTTAAAATCATTGTTACGGTCTGGATCGAAGTGAGTAAAAGTATCCATTGTACGTCATTTTGTAGGCTCGCAACAAGGCCGCTAGTAACGGAGCTATACGGCATCGGAGTTTCAGTGAATTTCCTCGTCTGAAGACCGATGTCCGAAGCGGACGACGCAAACCAATGAACTACAGCTCCTCTCATCATCAATGTCGTAACATCTGATTCATGTGGATTCTCACGTCAGATGCATTACTACAGAATAAAGCAATTATTAATTCCAATCCAGCTCGCCTTGATATATTTATCGCGAACAGCGACCACAATTAACTAGGTCCAATCTATATTTACAAAAGGCGTGACAAACAGCCTGTTCGTCTGATCATTCTACCATCAAAGTTGTTCTTCACTCGAAGTAACTAGCTAGGCATCATCGACTTCCCCGCCTTTCTGCACCGTCGACGCAATGTCCTCCGAATCTCACGCGAAAACCCTCAAGGCCTTGGAACCTCTGAGCAAGCTTCTGAATCCGGGCTCTGTCTTGACTCCCCAGGATGAGTCTTATACACATCACTCCGAACCATTTGCCATTCAAAAGCAGCAAAATCCCGCAGTCGTTCTTGTTCCGAGCTCGGCCAATGAGCTCTCAGAAATCGTCCGCTTTCTTTACGCCTCAGACCTGGATTTCGTCATCCGAGGACATGGCTTCAAGTCGCCGTCTGCTAAGCACGTGGTGATTAGCATGATGAACTTCAAGGACATCAGCTACGATCCAGTCAAGAAGATCGCCACGGTTGGCGCAACTGCTACCTGGTCGGAGGTGGTGACATACATGGATAAGGTCGACCCGGAGTACTCCGGTAAGTGAATATTCATCTTCATGTACTATTACGTATAAATCTTTGCTGATGGTTTAAAGTACCTGTGGCTCGAACTCCGGCAATCGGTGTCGCCGGGGCTATTCTGAACGGTGGCATTTCTTGGATGTCCACTGAGTATGGCTGCATTTGCGACCCGGTCAACTTCCTTGACGCTGAGGTTGTGAAATATGACGGCGCGGTTGTCATGGCTTCTCAGGAGCCCGATCTCTTGTGGTCCTTGAGAGGCAGTGGCGGTGGCTTTGGGAGTGAGTCGAACGTGAGGAGGTGCAGCCGTCTTAACAACGACTAACCAAACACAGTCATCACCAAGGTAATGCTTCGGGCACACCAATATCCGACAAACATCTGGTCCGGTCTGGTTATGGTGCCACGAAAATGGTTACCGCAGTTGATAAACGAGATGGTTGAATTCAACCACTCAGTGCCCCACCCCAAAATTACCTATTTCATGTACTTACTGCCCGAAAGACTCCTTCACACAATTCTGGAGCAGGAAGAGCCGGACGCTGGGGATGCGGTGATTTTCCACGTATATGATGCACTTGGGGAGCAGCATGGCCGAGCAGCGTTTAGCTGGGTGCTTGATAAACCCGGCGTTATTGACCGAACCAGGGTCACCAACATGAAGGGTGTCGTCGACATGCAGCGTAAGTTCATGCCTGGTCATACTGCAGGTTTTATGCTAAGTGAGGCCTTCTCAGGAAACGCCGCCGTCTTGCGAGGCAAGATGAAGACACTCTATGCGCCGATGGCTCTCCCCGACGTGGATCGAGACACTCTGAACCGAGCAGTCGCATTCTACGACAAGCTAGGGTCTCTGGATAAATCCATCCAGGACATATCTAGTGTAGTTTTTGAATGCCTTTTGCTGGTGAGCCGACCCTAGCAAAGCACATGTTCCCGACTAACATTATCCATGAAAGCGCCCTCCAATTGGAGGCACAGCCGAAGTTGCCTGGCCTCGGGCTCCAGGCCTGAACCATCTCTTGCTTCTCATTGCAAGTTGCCCCGGAGATGGTACGAAAGAGCAGGAAGAGCTGCTTCGTAAAATCTCGATCGATGCGCCTAAAGAGGTTTTAGAAGACAAGCTTGGGCTAGCGGAGGTTAACCCTGCTGGTCTTGAACTCGACTATCATAGCGTGAAGGCCGTAAGATCAACTCACTAATCACTGTATGAATCTGCCATCAATACTAATATCGTGGCAGGTGTACAGAGAACACTACGAGAAGCTGCTTGCGCTTAGGAAATTGTATGACCCGAAGTCACGTTTCAAATCGTTCTTCTAGTTGAACAATCTGGTGGCTGAGCTCGCTTATGATATTCTCGATTTTGTCAACTTGCTCCAAATATTTTCTCTTTATTATTTTGTCTTTTGATAGTCAATAACTTGAAGCTTAGTCAAGAGTGTAGTAGTTGTGATGTGGTCTGATGTCATTCGAGCTTGAGAAAGTGAAGATATTATCGGCAACCCTGGATCATCGTCACCCACCTTTCTTAAAGGTGTCCTTCGGCAATAGTGTGTTCGCCGAGGCCGATGATGCAATGTTCCAGAACGATGCGCATTGAACATTTCAGGACCGGCGGCTTATACATCAAGCATAACATTTACAGCTACCTTAGACTAGGCCGTGGAGCCTCGCGATTGCATCACATCGGCAACCTCACTTCGGTTGGCATCAAAGCCTCTTCTTCTAGCACCAAAATGCTTCCAAGATGATAGAGTCATTCTCTTCCCATATTCCTCAAAAGGTGTCTATAATAAGATCTGTTGAAAGTCAACAGCTGATCACAAAGTTTTAGGCTGTAATTCTGTAAAGAGAGATTGAATTGTAGCGCCGTATGTTGTCTAGCGTGCAAGCTTTTTTTTTTTTTTTTTTGGATACGATGTTCGCTTCGGATATCTGAATTCTGTAATTATCCCATTTCAACTCCGCCGCATCGACACAGCCCGTTTCAATCATCTAGCGATATGTTCACCAACTAACACAGCCTGTGGCAGGTCACCGGCCGTACTAGCAAGGATGGACGCCGATCCGGGCCTCCGCGGCCTACCGCGTCTCCACCATACGAGCGACTCGGGTCCGTTCGCATGATGAGACGAAATCTAAAAAAGTGATCTGCTAGGGAAAAGACTTGTGTTCTCACCGAGAAACCCCTGGATTACGGCTTCGACTTCGTCACTTTGGCAGATAGGAACTGCCGAAAGGAATCCACTCTCGCGGGTCTTGCGGCGACTACATTGCCATATCTATCTTCGACCCCGGAGGACCTTTCGAAAGTCATGATGTTTTCGTTCACTAATCGAACCACAACTTGTTGTCTGAGGCCATGTACGCACGCATTTTAGTTTTTTTGTTTGCAATTCTCGCGACACAAGCGGCGGGCTTGAATCCTGTTCGGGACAGGTTGCCCGTCAAACACGCAACAAACGAACTGCATGACAGAGCAACTCACGAGCGGGCCTATGGGGCACCCATTTCACCACGATCAGAGCCCGTCGTCGCCATCTACCGCGGACAAGAGAACGACACCACAGCCCTAATCCAAAAGGGAGACTGTGCATTTAGCGCATGGGATGAGCTCTACATTACCGACTTTCTTCAAGAACAACTCGGATACCTGTCGACAAGCGATCACTGCTGGATCATCAAAGGTGTTCGAGGACTGCAAGAACTTTTACACCGAAACATTACCGCCAACCCGCTCAACAATGTCACCATTCCGACTTGCGTTTCCCTCAATATCACCAGTAAAGGGAACTCATTTTCCATTGACTTCTCAACAAACTCTTATGAAGTCAACGGGGTTGCCGAAGACACTTTTGTGCTTCTCACCTACGCCCACCGTGAGTTCTTCGGCCCTTTGGATAAGCTTTCGACTAAACCTCTTCTATTTAGTTGTCTGTATGACTGCCGCATTCTTTCTGGCGTATCCCATAATTCTGGTTCTGGCATCAACTCCCAGCTTGTGTATTATGATCGACCGTCCGCTCCAAGAACCAACCAAAGCCAAGATTGATCGATGGCAAACAATCTTCCAGGCTTTCGTATTCGCGCCTCTTATGATTGGGGGTCTCGTCACTGGCATCATAGGGATGGGGACATCAGAACATGCTAGGACAGAGCACGGTGTAAGTTCCAATTCACGTATGCCTTGGACTGAGTTGACAGTCAACTGACATTCATACATCAGATTGTTGGCTACATCACGATAGGCCTGGCGGCAATAGTTGTTCCGCTTTATCTGTACCAACGACGACTCAGCTCACGGCCAGATCTGACGTTCTACATGTATCGAAGAATGAAGTTCATCAACGCTCTGGACTTTATCGTATGCCAAGCGATCCTCGTGATATCTGGCTTCGCCCTTCCGGACGGCATTGACGACTTTGGTGTGATGACTTTGTGTGGCACAAACACAATTTCAACATCCTTGATATTCTCTTTGGGTATGATTGTGTCCTTTGTATGGAACTGTGCCATGGCAACCATGACGGTGCAATGGCTGCTCGGCCAAAGACTTCAAGGAGGCAGTATTCGGGACAGAGCACCACCTTGGATGTTGAAGGTTTTGCGAAAGAGATCGATATAGTATCTCTCAATGATTGACGAATTTTAGACATACACCATATAGATAAAGCAGGCCCTGTTGTATCGGGTCTTTAAGGCAGCAGGCACTAGGCTACCTATCGAGCAGGCCAATGGCTTGAAGGAGTTTTGTTTACATGTCTAGCGTTGTTCATGAGGAGCTTGGCTACCTTGCTACTCTCACACTTAAACACGGCTGAACCCACTGGCCTTGAACACGCGCAACATTAGTATTGCATCTGAGACCGCTGAAAAAGTTCTGTTGGCCTACCCCGATTGCTAGAGCCAAAATCGTCCGCAGCACAATGATTTGGTTGTCTTATGGGGTTTTTAGGGAACAAGTGCCATTTTTTGTTTGCCGCGTGGCAGTTAGAGCTTGTCTTCAGGGCTTCTCTGGCCCCAACCTCTGTTTGAATATGTTCTTGAAGGTACAAGTCAGAATAGTAGACCACATAACAAGAACAGCGGCCTGCTCGACTTGTTCCGCATACAGCCGTCCCATCTTGGGGATGCTGTCCGTCCCTGGAGATTTAAAGTATGCTAGTGACGTAACCGTCACTAAGTAATGCAATGGCTCGCTTCGTGACACCCAAAATTTCGGGATATTTCAGTCCTTGTTGTAAAAGCTTGAAATAAGATGAGTTATTGGATGAAGCGTCTCTTTGTCGCCGTTGCCAACCAGAGGACGTACCTAAGTTGAAACGCATGTTAATCCTGGCATATCACCCACAACACTTTCTGCGCCTACTAAGCCGGCGGGCCTTGCTTGCATTTTTCGATGCCGGGCCTTGCTTCGATTGGTGCGGCGGCCCGGTCGGTGGTTACCTTAAGGGGCCGTGTTAATGCGGGGTCCGGGTCTCCGCGGACGCGACCAGGCCGTCCGCGGAACAAGGTCCACGTAATCAGAATGACGGTAGCAAAAGCTATGGCTTTTTGAAACATTTGAGGATACCCATTCATCTATAACGTAAGTTTAGTGATCAATAAATATTACGTGGATTGCATATGCTTCCTCGGTAAGGTGAGCTTTCCCCTGCCTGAACAGGAGTCCAGCATGTTAAAAATGACTCTGTTTGTCCGAGTTGATGTGAGCCTTTTGCAACCCTTGAATATCGGCTGATACCTGCACCATTTTGAATGCGCTCCCACCGAAATCTGCGTATTTGATAGTAACTGAAGCATAAGCTTGTTCTGAATGAGCTTTACGCACTTGACTGTGCCCATAGCCTCTCAGCATCAATGGCTATACCCGGTCCTTGCCGCAAGTATCCTCGCAGATTTCGAATGATAAACAGTTTCTCACTGACTAAAGCTCTCCCTATTATCGGGAATCTTCTCAATGTCGACTTCAATTATCCCTTAGGATCGCTCATCCAGAAAGGGAAGGTCTATGGTATACAAACTCCTACACAATCATACATGTGTCGGTAACAGGTAACTTCAGGGCCTATATACACCATGACTTTTGCTGGCCAGAAATTCATCTACGTATGCAACTACGACATTGCGAAAGAGCTTTACGATGGTGCGAGGTTCCATAAGATCGTGGCTTCTGGAGTCGCCAACCTTCGTTATGCCGCTGGCAACGGTCTCTTTACGGCGCAGGTAGATAATCATGAGTGGGAGATTGCCCATCGCATACTTCTACCGCACTTCGGCGCCTCAGAAATCAGGAATATGTTTCAAAGTATGATCGACGTTGCAGAGCAGCTGTGTCTCAAATGGTACGCCAAATACACCGCAAGTGAGAGGAAGCCCTAACCCAATCTAATCAGGGCGCGTTTCGGGCCAAAAGCCTTGATCAACGTTTCCAGCGACTTCACGCGGCTTACACTTGATACAATAGCGCTCTGTACTATGAGCTTCCGCTTCAACAGCTTCTACTTGGGTGACCGTGTACATCCCTTTGTCGAAGCCATGACAGCTGTCCTCGCCGAGGCCGAAACACAATCAGGGATACCGCCGTATCTGAGCTTTCTGCGTTGGAGCTCACAAGCAAAGTTCTTCAAGAACATCAACTTCATGACTCAGACTTGCAGAGAGATCATTGCTAACAGGCGAGATGTGAACACGGAGACTCCAGACCTACTTGACGCCATGCTGACTGGACGAGATGCAAAGACGGGAGAAGAGATGACAGAGGAGTCCATCATCAACAACATGATCACTTTCCTCATTGCAGGCCATGAAACCACCTCAGGCTTGTTGTCCTTTGTCTTTTATTTCCTACTGGAAAACCCCGAAGCGCTTCAAAAAGCTTACGACGAAGTTGGCTCTATAATTGGCAGCGAACGAATTTCCGTAAATCATCTGCAGCAACTACCTTTCATTGACGCCGTACTCAAAGAAACCCTTCGTTTGATGCCAACTGCTCCCGGCTTCTTCGTCACCCCTTTCAAGACGGAAATCCTGGGAGGGAACTACGCAATCCACGCCGGTGAGCCAATACTGGCTCTGCTTCATCTCATACAAAGGGACCCCGCGGTTTGGGGAGATGATGCCGAGGAATTCAAACCTGAAAGAATGCTGAAGCACAACTTTGAAAAGCTTCCGAAAAGTTCTTGGAAGCCTTTTGGAAATGGCAAGAGAGCATGCATTGGCAGAGCCTTTACATGGCAGGAGGCTCAGTTGGTATGTTTCGTTTTCCAATCAAGTGAAGCTGACCCCGGCAACTCTGCGGACTCCGCTGAGACCTTTGAATAGATCGTTGCGATGATACTTCAGAATTTCGACATCAGCAAGGGCGATCCGAATTACAGCCTCCATGTTAAGAATTCTCTAACGATCAAACCCGTTGGCTTCACCATGTTGGCCAAAGTGAAAGGTTGTAGAGTCGATTCCGGCCTTTTTCAACCGGGAGAAAGATACTAACGGCTACTTGATGGTGAGAATTGGCAATAAAAAAGTAAACGCGGTTTGAACTCCAGAATGGCCATTTTCTTAAGTGCTGGTTGTGACCTTTGTATGCACAGCTTCCTTCTTTCCTTCTAACCCCTTTTTTTATGCTTAGTAGGTAAACGCCTGCAGGCACACACTTTTGACTCTGACGGGGAAATATGTGAGGACCAGGACGGCCTAGGCTGAAGAGACCTTCACGGCCATGGCTTTCGTTCATATTGGCGTTCGTGGCCAACCTTTTCCGGAGAGCAACCAATTGCCCAAACAGCCAAAACATTTGATTTTCTGATTTAGACAAAAGCCTAGGATCATACGTTTGATGCATGCCGATTGCATGGTATCTTTAGGCGAGATATTCAATGTTGGCAAAACGCTGAGCCGTTCCACCAAAAAAACAAAAAACAAAAAAAACAAAACGAAAACGAAAACGAGCAAGAAATGTCAAATATTGATATCATGGGCATTCTATAGGTGGTTCCGAGTTCTAACAAGACATGAAGGCTCGTTAGCTAGCTTGTAGGGAAATAATCTCGCTATATTCTTCGTATTTATCCAGCTCGTTGAGCTCCTCCCGAACCTCTCTCATTTACTCATTATATCTAAGCTTCCTATGGAGTTTTCGCTAATCCTTTTAGTACTCCTTAATACCTTAGACCTTATTAGATTAAGAGAGGAGGTATACTACGATTTAATAAATAAATATTTAGTAATAGTACTTATCCTTAGACTTATCTAGGGATCTAATATTAAAACTTATATTATTAATAGTAACTTAGATATATTATTTATACTTTTTTATAAGAGTAATAAAGTTAACTTTCTCTTTTATTTTTTAGTTTATTAATTTAGTAATAAATATTTTAATTAATTTAATTATAATAAGTTAATCTTATTAGGGATAGTTAATAAGTAGAGGAAGAATAGACCTATATTCTTCTTTTTATATAACTTTATATAATAAGTTATCTATAAACTATTAAGGTTATTAATAATATTCTTATAAACTTAGATTAAAACTTTCTTAGTTATTATAAATAATATTATAATACTTAGTAAGTATCTATTAAAGTATAAATAGAATTTTTATAGTGTGGTGTAAACCTCTATAAATTAGATGTGGCTGGGCTTAAAGGGTAGAAGAGGGAAATAATCTTGCTTCTTGATAACTCTTTTGGATGTCAGCTTGGTATTTGCAGCACCAAACAAGAGATATTTTTCCACCCCGTCTCTGGTCGTACCGCTAATGCATCAAGGTTGGAGATCCTTGTCGATTCCCAGGATGCAGATCCTGTGTGAAAGCCAAGCTGTCAGACTGCTGCTGTACTATCCGTAATCCGTACTTCGTACTTCCTTTAACACGCGGCATGCGAGACATCGACGCGATGTGTTGTCTTTAGCGATTGAATCTGATTTGAGGAGTGGTAAGTGCCCCTTGTGGATCTTGCAAGCCCGTCAGCACTGCGCCTGGAAGTTAGACAGATCCTCAGCCCCTCCCTCGACGGCCTGCCCACAGAGACAGACTAATTGCAGCAGGGTGGACGAGATACGACATACCATCATTGGTAGCGGAAACATGGAATCATGCTTAAATTCGATGTGGCGTGTGTTTTCAGCAGCTGCAGTTGTACCTTAGGAATGCATACAGGGGCGTCATGCATGTCGAAGCGAGCACAACACCAACGTCAAAGTACGACACCAGACGTGGAACACAAGGTACAAAAGGCGACCCTGCCCCTCTTTGAAATAATTACTCGTGGCAGAATCCTTCTGCTTCAATTTTTGTCGTCCTTTTCCGAGGATCTCGCGCTTTCGTCCTCAGCCATGCCTCCCCTCAGACTGTTGCTGGCCGCGGCGTGTATGCTTGGCAACTCGCTCCCTGCATTTGCGCAGACCACCGATGTCGATAGCGACATCATTGAGCCTGCCGATTTCAACTTGTCCAATGCCTTATTGGAGCACGGGGTCGCGGTCTCGGATGTCCCTGGCTTATCAAACCTCGGAAAGCCATCACAGCCCGAATGCTCCGTTGCTGTGAGTCGTAGCGTCAAATCCATGAGCAATCATAAGTTGACACTTCACAAATTCAGTGCGACACGCTCAAATTTCTCTACGGAGACGGAGCTGTCGAAACCAGAAATGAGACAGCCTACAACAGTTTCGTAGGGTCATATTGGTCGGCAAACCAGGCTGCGGTCAGGCCTCGGTGCATCTTCAAACCGTCCCAGGCCGCGCAGGTCTCTGTGTTTGTGATCCTGTCTCGTTTGACCCAGTGCCCCTTCGCGGCCAAGAGCGGTGGGCATGCTGCCATGGCTGGCGCCTCCAGTGCTCAGGACGGCATCACCGTTTCGTTTATGAACATGACGAGTATCAAGCTGTCTGACGACAAGAAGATTGCTTCCATCGAGCCTGGGAATATTTGGGGCGACGTCTACAGAGAGCTTGCCAAGTCTGACATGACCGTTATTGGAGGCCGGTTGTACAACATTGGCGTCGGAGGACTGACGACCGGAGGTATGACAAGACGACGGCCTCACTAAGGCTACCGCAGGCTTACATGGCACCAGGTGGAATTTCCTACTTTTCCAATGAGCACGGCTGGGCTTGTGACAATGTGGAAAGCTACGATGTAGGTGGCAGTACGCGCATTTCATAATTTTCAGGGTTGACTTTCTGGCAGCTTGTCGTTGCGACTGGCGCCGTGATCCGAGTCTCGGCGACGACTTATCCGGATCTCTTCTGGGCCCTCCGTGGTGGCGGCAACAACTTCGGGCTGGTCGTCAACTTCAACCTCAAGACAACCCCCCTCCAAGGTGGCAAGATGTGGGGAGGCAGAAGGACGTACACAGAGAACAACTTTGACAAGGTTGCTGAGGCGTTCCACAACATTGTCGTCAATTCCGAACAAGACAACAAAGCCGGTTTGTGGCACGTCTGGATGTATGCCTTTGAAACCAAAATGGCGGTTCCGACACTGTACTACAGCGAGCCCGACGGCAGTCAAGCTGCTATTTTCGACGAGTTCAACAAGATTCCAGCCTTCGATGATGCTACACAGGATCACATCCTAGCGGACTTTGCCGCTCAGGGCATGAACGATACGCCCCCGGGCCTGCACGAAGTCTACTATGTCATCAGCACAAAGGCGGACTTGAGCCTTCAAAATTGGGCCAAAGATCTCTACTTCAAGGAGGTCATGGCCGTCGCGAATATTTCTGGCATCGTACCCGCTCTCACGATGCAAGGTATCACGATTCCGCAGCTGAAGAAAATGCGAAACAACGGCGGAAATGCGTTGGGTTTGAACGTTGACGATGGGCCACTCTACATCATCCAGATGGCTGTCATGTGGGCCGACGAAAAAGACAGCGAGGCCGTCTACCGTTTTGCGTCCAACCTCCTCGAGAAAATCTCCAACGAGGCAAAGAAGCGAGGGTTGTACAATGACTTTGTGTACATGAACTACGCCAGCCAGTATCAGGACGTGGTCAGCAGTTACGGGAAGGACAACAAAGACAGGTTGAAGAGTATCTCTACGAAGTACGATCCCAATGGTGTCTTTCAAAAGCTGCAGCCGGGATATTTCAAACTTGATCGTGCGCCAATTACTGGCACCAAATACTTTTCGTTCTAGGTCTGGGAATCGACGGCGATATGGCGAGCCAGTGTGACAACTGGGATGATATCAGGGACTTACGAGTAAGTTAGTTTGATGTTCCTTGAACTATCTCTTCCAACCTACACGTCATACGGAGTTGCAGGCCTTTGCCGACACCGGTGTCGAGAGCTTTCACTCGAACCGCGGAAATTGTGCCGAGACGAGGAAAGTGAGATTGATCGGTCAAGAGAGTCACCAGAATAGAGTTCGTTAGTTATCAGTCGTTACTGCTTTCTGTGCCGCTGGTTTTGACACCTGGATGGAAATCGTAAAGGTGCTTGCTGGAATTTGGGACTTGGGCACTGCTTTGGGCACATTCGCCCTCTTCACGGACATACTTTTACACCAAGTATTAAAAATCAAATACCTCACATTTGGAAAAAGTGTGTTTCCTTCCTCTGATTGCTAGATTCCACCTCGGGGGCGCAGCTACACAACGACTCAACACCACCGCCCGCACAATGCCGGTACATCCACGAAACTTTCGCCCGCAAAGGCGCGGCGCGCAGATACATCCCCAAAAGCTTCACTGGTATACCCTTCCTTACGAGCTCCGAATCATCGTTCTGGGACACTTAGCTAACCACAACGTCCAGAAGGCCGAGCGAGCATCATGGCCCAGCGTGTGCGCGGAATGGCGCGACTTTTTCGAGAGCCGCGCCTTTGCGTGCCTTACGCTCCAGTCGTCCAGCGATATCTTGGCGTTCTCTCGTCTCGACCATCATCCACGAGACAAGGTCAAGAAGGTCAGGCTACACGTCCCGCTGAGGTGGTATGACTGCACACGTTGCGACAAACCCGAGAATCGGCGGGAAGCCGAAGCGAATGACGAGGCCTTCAGCGTACGACTCCTTGCGCTCCTGCATGTCTTAACAGACTGGCAACCGAGAGAAGACGAAGGACTCGCACTCGAGATCAGCACAGCGTCGCCGAGCGATACACAGCACTATTTTGTGCCACCCTTCCACACTCCCCAGGAGTGGCAAGATTATGAAAGAGGTCACGGGTCTCAAAAGGGCCCGCCGGACCCGATGACCATACGGGGTGCCAGACAGAGGATGCTTGGGAGCCCACTCGACCTTCAAACGACCGTCTATCACAGAAGAGACGTCCACGGCGGCTTCAAGTTGGACATCGACGGGCTTCGAGTGCCCGCTATCACCCAATTCATCGTCAACCGAGCGTCACGCCGAACCCTTAGCGAAGGGGCAATTCGGCGTGTGTTTGAATGTCTTCCAGGCTTGAAAGCGGTCACTTGGGAGCCGTGGAGCGGAACAGTTGCAGAGAGCCAGCGGCCTCGTGAGCTAGCTAACCTGGCGCTGCTCGCAAATTTGCCGACTACGGTCGAAGACCTAACCCTTTGGGAGTGTTGGCAAGACCCGACAGACATGGAGCATGAGCATGAAAATGCTTCACAAGTAAGGCCTACAGGCTGGCATGCATCTCTCTGGAGGGGAGAGGAAGAGAGAACGTCGCCGCGATTCAGTACCTCGCAACTTATGGATGTGGTTGCGGCGGAGCCGATGACAGGGCATCGCCGTATGGCCTTGACCGCGGCGTACGCATGCCGTAACTTGGCTTCCTTCAACGCAGCCGGCATTATTGACGCAACGGAGTTCTTTCAAAATCTGGTGCTTCTGGCCGAGGCACAGCCGCGACTGGCCTGGTCCAACCTCAAAAAAGTTGCCCTGAAAACTCCACAGGTTCTGAGGACGGACACGAGGGAGGGGCTGTTCCGTAAAGCTGGGGATGCCGCCGCCCTTATACCTCGGCTTCAGGTCATGGAGTTGTGGGATGTGACCGCGAATGCCGGGGCCGTGTTCCGGTTCAGAGTGTTTGAGCTGGAGGCAGAGCTGGTGCTGGAGACGACGATGGGAACAGAGCTGAGCGATGATGTTCGTGAGCTTTGGGACAAGATGGCACGGCAGCGGGGAGGGAGACACATGATTGTAAGGGTGCGAGTCCTCGATGAAGATGCCGTGAGGGGGTCACGTAAAGGCTTTTTTCAACGTCTCCGGCTCCTTGATCCGGTTCAGATGAGGGAGTGGAACACCTTCAAAATGTATGAAAGTATATAAAAGAGATATGAGAGTGTGCAAGAGTATGAGAGTGTATAATAGTATGAGAGTATGTTAGAGCGTGAGAGTAACTTTGAGAATGAGAGAGAATAGGAGAGGATGAGAGTTATAGGAGCATGGACATATAAGAGTGTGATAGTATATCGTAGTATGAGACTTCCAAGAGTATCAGAGTGAGAAAAAGTCATTGAGAGTAAATACTATCAACTACATGAAAACACACATCGTGCCGCCAACGGCTGTTTCTCACACAGCGGCACGAATCACAGCATACATTTGGAGCAGAACCTAGAATCGTGGGCTAGACATCGTAGGTACAGCCAGTAGAGACAGTCACAGATGGATCTCATTTACTCACCGACCTGACGATACGGCGGTCAATCCCAGTGCCTGATGAAGCGACCATGCCGAATCGACCGGGCTGTCTCTCACATCACGCTTGCGACGGCTCCATTCGCCGGCGTGTCTCTTGGGTTGAAGATCAGCATGTCAAACCAAGCTAGCAACTACTAGTTTGTGAGTCTGCCTGGGGTTGACAGCGGCACCAGGCAAACCGAGCCTCGCACCGTGCCAGTCGAGGTATTTTGTCCCGAAGACGAAATAATGCAATATCAAGTGGACCATGTCCAGTCGTGACGTCGTCAACCCAGCAGGGCAATCGATCCTTCATCGCAACTCCATCAGACGTGAACCCCAAAAGGCGAAATGTGCCATCTCTTGCCCGGGCCGAACATCAGAAGAAAAGAAAGACAGAGTCAGGGGCAGGAACAGACAATCTCCTGCCCATCAATGCCATGGACATTTGGGGCCTGAGACATGTGCGTTTAAACCGATCTCGGGACGGGACCCCAATCACTGAGATGCGATTCACCCAAAATTCCACGGGGAGGAGGCGTTGAAATTGGGTTGTTTGCGCGCTAGCACCAGGAGGTAGCAGCGCGCCGTCCGTTGGGCGAGGTGATGCAAAGCAAGCCTCGACGTTGCGCCGTCCCGACTTACTGGCAGGTGTCAGATGCATGAAATCCAATTCAGACCGCATACGGGTGGTACAGCAGAGCAGAAGTGAGTTGCAACCGGTTCTGATGGAGGTTAGGTTGGCTGAGATGACCGCCCCGCGTGATGCGCCTCAACCCAACCTCTGCACCCTCTTGGCCTCCCCGGGCCACCTTAACCACTGGTCTGGGTGGCACACAGGGGGGCGGTCAGGCAGGTTGGGCGGGTCATGGGGTGTTGGACGGGCTGGTACGTGGCTGCACTGGCGGCGGGAAGAAAGCTCCGATGGGAAATGCAGTTGGAGCTGGAGGAATGGAGGAGAAATTTGGATGGCGATGTTAGGTCAGGTTCCTCCAAGACAGTGTCTCTCGCGTAGTGATGGCGTCTTGTGGTACGGGCTTTCGGGTACGGATACTCGTACGAATGGACTTCCCTGGCTGAAAAGGACGAGGTGATGATTCGGCCAAGGGGCCAGGTGACGCCATGCTGGGCCCAGGTCCAGTCTGGACAGTTCACTGTGCATGGAGGCGCGGAGGCTATGGGGAGCTTCCCCGCCCTCCAAGCAAACAGCCCCCGACACGCCTGAAGCTTGCTTGCTTGGTGCTTGCTTCCTGAGCTTCTGATGATGGGGGCGGAGAGCTCGTAGTGGTGGTGGTCAGTGGGTGACAACGACAATGAAAGAGAAACGAAAAAAAGGCCGAGCAGTAGATAAAGGTCGCCAAGTCTCGCAGACTTCGGGATTGATCGAGTCCTGTTGGGGACATCGTTGTTCTGTCCGTGTCTCTTTTTCGCCTTCGATTCCGTGCTCCAGAGCCAAGACAGCAGGCAGCCAGCAGCTTCCCCGGATCTTCACTGGCGGCACAGCTAGGTAGGGGGAAGGGGGAAAGAGAAAGACAGGAACCAGGCAAAGTCATAAAAAACGGGGGCCCTTGGGAAGACAGTGGTGATCCCTGTCGACGACGCATCTCTGATCAGTGATCGTCGGGCGGCGGCGGCGGGTGGTTGCGGTGCCTTGCTGCCATCATCCCGCGGGCCACTCTCTCGATCAATCAGGTTCTGGCTTGTGCGGTGATCCGGACCCCGTTCTGGGTTGCGTGCTTCCGCGGGCTTGCGTTTGCTCGCTTCCTTGCTTGCGTTGCTTGGTTGCTCATCGCAGCTCGGCGTCAGCTTCCACGCCTCGTTGGAGTGGTTCCTGGCCGTCCCTAACCCACCGGATTCCCACCTTGGGACGGGTCCCCTGGGCTGATCTGCAGCACCCGGGCGAGAAGGGGATATTCCAGAATCCATTGCGGCAGCAGCAGCATCGTTCCCGCTCCCGTGCCGCCGCGGTCTAGGCATCGCGGCACGCAGGACGGAGCTGCGCGAGGGTGGGAAGAACAGCAAAGCGCCCGACAAAGACGAGCAGCGCTGGGCAGCGCAGGCCGGGCTTGGACGGCAGGACGGCACCGCGGCACGCTCGGGCGGTCTCTGCGGGCTTGGGATCGGACTGAAATCGTTGGGTTGAACGTTATTTGTCGGCGGCGGCTCTGCAGCAATCATCGAGGGTGCCAGCATTTCCAAGGAAACAAGAAACGCACAACCCGAGTGACTGCGCTGGCGGTGTGCTAGTGAAAGAAAGAAAGCGTTGAGTGTTGGCTACGCGGCTGGGATTAAGGGTCCGGAAAGACAGACGGTGGACAGACAGCGTTTTGCAGTGGGTGGTGGGAGTGTTTCTCCTCGCATCGACTTTCCGCAGCTGCGCAGGGTGAATGCCTCCATCGGGACGGGCTCCAAGGTGCGTGTTTCCGATTCTGAAGGGTGGAAGTGAGAGGTGAAGGTGTGGAGGGTGAAGATGAGGTGAAGCGAGGCGAGAGTGATGGGCGAATAGGGGGCCGAGGAAGCTGAAGCTCAGTCAATGCTAACCGA